CACGGATCCCCCCGGGGCTGTGGCTCCTGGGGAGCTGCCACCCTTGCCCTGGCTGGCAAGGGGACGCAGGGATGGTGTGTGTGGCAGCGGTGGCATTGCTACCCCCAGAAATGCCACCAGGCAGCAGGGAGTCATGGGGAGCAGCTCCTGCCCCAGCCGCATTCCCAAACAGCATGGCCACGGCATGGACCTGCTTCTCTGCAGGACCTCCCTGAGCCGATGAGGTCCGGGGATCTTTGCACACTGAGAGCTCCGACTCCACAGCATTCCCTGTCCCTTTGGGTCCATCTCCTCCTCATGAAGGGACCTGGGGACAAGAAGGAGCCTCATGATCCCAGGGTGCTGCCGGCCCCATGAGGAGCTCTGCCCAGAGGTGAATCAGCATCACCTGCATCTCTCCATCCCTGCCAGGGGCTGTCCCAGGGCTGGTGGCCGTGGAGCCCTAGCACCCTCCTCCAGCTGGGCTGCTCCATCGCCTCTTGCTCAACCACCCAGATAAAGCAGTTTCCTCTTGATGGTTGCTGAGACCTGTGGGATGGAGGAGGCTCTCCCAGGGTCTTCCTTGCCAGAGCTGCGAGGCTGTTGAGGGTGCCTGGCCCCCTGTCTCCCAACAGCAGGAGCTGACAGGCTCCTTGGGGTGTCTACAGCCCACCCCGTCTCATCTGCCAAATGCTGCTGTGCTCATGTGGGTCCCAGCTCTCCCTCCTCCCCATCACATCCCCAGGCCGAAGCAGGCATGCTGGGGAAGGGTGGGAGCCACACGGCAGCATGTGCTTCCCATGGAGCTGGAGAGCATCTTGGCCTCCTCCAAAACCAGACCCTGCTCCGCCATCACGGGGTAGTGGGTGCCTGCGTGGGCTGCAGTGCTGTGGGTGTCCCGGGCGGTGAACATGCTGGGAGCTCTCCCCATGCCACCCACCTGGATGCAGAGGCCAGGGGCCCCAGTTCCAGGGCAGCTGAGGACCCAAAACCTGTCCCTTGCTTAGGGACTACCTGTCGGGGGTCCACCCAGCCTGCTGGTATCTCTCAGATGTGCCTTTTCTTTTCCAGCCACTTCTGCTCCGATGGCTCCTTGATTCTGCGGGAGCTGAGGGCCCCCCGTGTCTACTCCCTGTGCTCCAGGACGAGGGCTTTGCCGCTGCCGCAGCATGGTACAAGCCTGCTTGGTGTGCTCCAGAGCTCGTAACGGCAGCCTGACAGCCCGGGCAGCCGGGGCAGCCATGGACAAGACGGACAAGCCCAGTCCCTCTGCCAAGAAGCACGTGTCTTCAGGAGAGGTGAGCGTGGCTGGACGGTGCCTGCAGCCCCAACCCTGGGCCCCCCACCTCGTCCCCAGGGCGTGGGCTCACCCAAACCTCCTTCCCCCAGCCCTGCCAGCCCCCTGACTTGTGCAGAGCATGGAGACAGCCCTGACCCCCCCACACCCCCCAGCCAAACCTAGACAAAGTGCTCTGAAGGTTTTCCAGCAAAATGGTGAAATGAGCAGCTAGTTCCTTGTTGTTGTCATCCCCCCTCCTTCCCCCCCCCATCTTCTGGTAGAGACCTGGCCCCTTTCTTCATCCTCTGCTATTTTCTGCCTGACTTGTGCTTGCTGTGGGGTGGTTTTAACTGGTGATGCAGCGGGATGGGCCACCCTCCTGTCCCAGGGCCACAGAGGGTCAGGCAGGGACCCCTTTGCCTCCCAGGAGGGGCTCCAATGTCTCACTGATGCTGGACATGAGCTCGCTGGGGAGCGTGGAGCCCATCCAGCCCGTCTGCACGCCACGGGACATCACGCTGAAGTTCCTGAGGACATCAAGCCATGTGCTGAGGAGAGAGGAGCTCCAGCAACGCGCCCAGAGCCTGACACAGCTCCAGGAGGAGTTCTCGGTACGCTGCTCCTCTGCTCTCTCCCTCCTCACACTGGGGGTGGCAGGGGCTGGCGGCGGGGGGACCGGCAGGGCTGGACACCTCCCAGGGAGGCTGCGAGCCCAGCTCTGACCCGCAGCACAGCGGGGTGGGCGATGTGGGCAAAGAGGGGTGAAGGGTGCCCTGGGAATGCCCCGGCTGCCCGCTCCCTGGTGCACACAAGTCCCCACTGTGTCCCTGTCCTGCCCTCCCACGCCGAGCTCTTCTCCCAGGGGCGCCTCTCTGGAAGGTGTCCCACCGCTTCAGGACTGAGGACGGGGCTCATCCCAGGAGCTGACATCCCTGGTGATGCTGCCGGGTCCCCGGGTCAGCCTCTCATTGCCTGGGGGAGCGGCTCTGCCACGATGAGGGGACGTGAGCAGCAGCGACGGAGTCTTCCTCACAGTTGTTCTCTCCTCCTGCAGAAAATCCCACCCAACTTTGTCAGTCCGGAGGAGCTGGAGATCCCTGGACGTGCCTCCAAGGACAGATACAAAACCATCCTCCCCAGTATGTGCCGCTGCATTCCTCTGCCTCCCTTTTGCCTGGGGGCCATGTGCAGCAAGGGCGGGGGGGTGTGCTTGTGTGCGTGTGTGGGCGTGTGTGGGTGCTTGTGCATGGGAGGCGGGTGACGCAGAGCACCCCGGCACGGGGTGGGCACTCCTGGGTGCTCCTGGTGTTCCTGCTGTGCTCGTTCCTGCTCTCCCTGTTGCAGGCGCTGGGTGCTGTGTTGCAGGGGGTGCACACTATGGGGGGGTACGTGGGGAGCTACTCCTTGGGGTGTGCAGCCCACAACAGCCCAGCCTGGGTTGCCCCCAGCCACTGTGGGGGCCTCACATGTCGCCGGGGCATGGCGCTGGGGGTACAGAGGCTGAGAACATTACAGGAGGACTCGTTTGGGTCAGGCACAGTGGCAGGGCCCGGGGGGGTCACTGCCTGGTGGGTGTTGCCCCACGTGCTCGCCGTGGCACAGGCATGGCTGGCTGCAC